CACTCCTTTGCAGAAGTGATTTATAGAGTGAAAAAAAAAAACACCTTATCCAGATTCCCAATCATTCTACTACCCTAATTTGGCCAATAATCTTTCGCTTATAGACGATTAGAGAGTTTTGATAATGAAAATGATATGGTGAGAGAGACAGAGATTAAGGATCGTCTAATACGTCGGTGTTGAAAAAAGGATTTTAAAACTTAGAAACAGAGAATACTAACTAACTACGTAGTACCTTAATGCTGAGGTCGGTGAATAAGTGATGTGGAGCTTACAATATCCACCATCATAGATACAATAATAAGATTCACAATCATAAACCCCTTTGTTTTACCACATTCGTTTGAACATCTGAAAGAAATCCGCCATGTCATTTGAGAATTCCCTCTTAACATATCAATGACAATGACAATGACAGAGAGCATATCCTATAATAAGATTCACAATCATAAACCCCTTTTCCTGGCAAGAGACCGTTTTAAATGTGCTTACCTGACCAGTACTAGCAATGGCTGATGGAGCAACGAGAAGGTAAGGATTAGTATAGTCTCTGCAAAGTAAAGACGATACGAATAAGAAATTATTGCAATCACCAGGAAAACCGGTACATGTTTCAGCACACATTGAGAAAAGACAATACCTGCTCCGATGACTCTGATATTTGACAGTCAAATCTGTATGAGCTGAATATGTGATTTTAAGAGAACATTGTCTCACTGTCTCAGGGAGTAGGTACCTGATGTCCAGACAGAGACGTAAATGATAAGTACACCTCAAATATAACAGATATATAAGATATTAGTACCAAAATCGTGCACACGATATTGCCAAGTTTCCCACATGTAACACTTTCTGAGAAACTACCAATGCATACAATATTCCCAGTTTCCTGACTGAAAAGACTAGTTGCAAATTTGGTTTTCCAACATCTATCATCACCATACATAACTTGACACCAGCTGACTGGAAATCCTACAGACATTTGGAAGGTTGACAGATGTCAGAACCTACACATGATATATAAAAACTATACAGCCCTTCACAGTTAGACTAAATACCATGTCAAAAATTTAATACAACTGTCACCTAGGGATGCTTCTTTCATCTAGGTTGTAGTTTCTCCGTTAGTATATTGAACCAGTGCCTAATAGCAATTCAAACAACAAACAATATGAGTACAATAACTATAAAACATCAAAATACAAAGCAATTGTTGGCTTGGTAATATACCTGATATCCGGCTGTCTTCTCGAACATAGTAATCTTGTGGACAAACCCAAAGGCTGAGAATACCTGCATTGCAAACCAGCAATTAGGAGACCAAAAAAAAACGCACATGTCGACTTTTAAGACTCAAGTGCATTTGTCATTAATTTTCACTTCAGTAACAGTCAAAGACAAATTTAATTTCAATTAACTATTTAACTATCTACGTATTTAATTTCTACAATATCACAAACGTTTAGGATAACAAATTAAACCAACATAATATGACGTTGCTAGTTTGAGGCCGGTATTCATGTAACATCCTAGAACCATGTATAAGATTTTTAGGAATTTTGAATAATTTACAGAGGTTCAGAGAATGTTGTAAGAGGGAGGAAATGGTCTTTAGACAATGAAAACCTATGGAACGGCCCGCAAAAAAATAAAACGGGCCTCCTACAATTAAATGGGGGAAAAGAATTTTCCCTTAAGAAGGAAGGGAAAAACGTGGTGAAGAAGGGAGACTAGTGGGCTTGGCCCGTGTAGTAAGAAGGTGGAGAAAAATAAGAAAAGTGAATATTCTCTAGGGAAATTTTTGTGGGGTATAAATAGAGAGCTAGGGAGCTCATAATTTACACATCAAAATCATTCTTCTCTTCCAGAGCCAAAGGTAAATGCTTAAGAAGGAAGAATCGGAGGAGCTTGATAAGGAACTCAGCACCCCAGCCCTGCGGTAGAGAAGGTTCACGGTTGAGGTAAGGCGCGATCGTACCTAATCCTTCCTTTCCTGTCCTTTATTATTATTGCTTTCATAGGGTGTTTTAGTAGTATGGGATCATAGGCTAGGGTAGTGGTCGAGGTAACTCGATCCAGATAAGAGATCCGGATGGGAGGCTCGACGAGTGTGGGGCAGTGGCCGAGTTCCACTCGAATACGGTCGAGCACGAGAAGGGTCTCGTCGATGGCGAATGGCTGCGATACGGGAACGATGAGAGATCGGATCACGTATCGGCATGCACCCGGTCTAGTAACGGTAGTACTTGCCTAGTGGAAAGAGAACATCAGCATGGCCTCGGGGTGCCTCAATGAGTGTCTCAATCCAGACTATGGTGATGTTTAGGTAGGGCATCAGTATGGCCTCGAGGTGCCTCGATGACGCCTTGACATAACGCTAGCACAAGATAGCGTATCACAGTATGGGACGTGCTACGCTACGATAAGGCAGCGAGTCGCGCCACACGAAGGTACCATGTCGCGCCATGATAAGAGATTATGCCGCATCAGCATGGTATCGTGCCGCGGATCGATAGACATCGTGCCGCATCTCGAGAGGGTCCGATATGGTTCGGTGACGCCTCAACAGCACCGCAATGGAGTGTTGGTGTTAGGGGCAATCATGCCGCAACTCGATAAAGTATCGAGGTGGGCATGGTGGCAAGGTTTGGAGATGGGCAGCAAGGGCATATTAGCTGGAAACCCAATAAATACCCGACATAAGTTGTACCATGGATTCGCAGGACCTTGGTAGAGAGACGAAGGCGGCCTGGGTCCGCATTACACGAGACCGGACTGGCAGGTGAAGGCTTGACCAAACGGTGCGGTGGCAGAGCATCCGGTCGGACCGCAGAGGGTCTGACTATGGACTCGTAGGTGAAGGCAGGCTGATAGCTTGATAAGGTCTGGGATCTTGACAAGTTATGTAGACCTATTCACGGTGGGTTATTGGTTAGCATACACGCGCTAAGGGTATTCTGGGCGTGGGATTGGACCTTAGTCTCGAGGAAGCTTGGCATGGTTCCGACCAAAAACGAGGGTGGCTCATTGTTTGGTGATTGCAGGAAAGAGCTCCGTAGAGAGTTTATGCCTTGAATCACATTTCATAGGTTTGTTTATGAATTGAGTCTTGCATTGACAAAGCTATACCCTTCCAAGGGAGCTATCTTAGGCTAAATGAGAACTTAGTCTAGGAAGCTGAAAGATAGA